TGGGCGGGGGAGGGAGAGGGGGAGGGCTGCACCCATAGAACAGGAGACTTGAGTGTGAGACTCCAAATCTCCTTTGGCATGGAGCGGGCGGGACAGAATGGGCATCCCTCCAGCATCAAGGTCACGTGATGCGTTGCTGAATGGATAGCTGTCCCGGGCCACAGGCTTCCTAAACAGGGCTCGAACTCCCAGCGTGAGGTCGTGTGCCTCAGAGGGGCTTGATGGAGCAGTGTCTACACTGGCCACTTATTCCGGAAAATCAGCCGTTTTTCCGGAATAACTCGCCAGCTGTCTACACTGGCCCCTTGAATTTCCAGAAAAGCACTGACGATCTACTGTAAGAAATCAGCCGCTTTTCCGGAAATACTATGCTGCTCCCGTTCGGGCAAAAGTCCTTTTTCCGGAAAACTGTTCCGGAAAAGGGCCAGTGTAGACAGCACAGTAGTGTTTTCCGTAAAAAAGCCACAATCCCGAAAATGACGATCGGGGCTTTTTTGCGGAAAAGCACGTCTAGATTGGCCACGGACGCTTTTCCGGAAAAAGTGCTTTCCCGGAAAAGCATCCTGCCAATGTAGACACGCTTTTTCCGGAAATACTTATAATGGAAAACTGTTCCGTTTTAAGCATTTCCGGAAAAGGGTGCCAGTGTAGACATAGCCGGAGGGTTGAACTTAGCTTTGGCTGTAAACCACAGCTTATGCTAACAACTTTGAGATGTCACTCTTGGAAAGAAACGTCGCCCCCTCCCCCCCCCCCCAACTCACACTCTGGGTCTGCTAAGAAAGACAAGACTGATGCTGAAATGCCTAAGAACATCAGAACGGTCACACTGGGTCAGAGCAAAGGTCCACCTAGCCCAGGATCCTGTCTGCCGACAGTGGCCAATGACAGGTGCCCCAGAGGGAGTGACCAGAACAAGGAATCATCAAGTGATCCCTCCCCTGTCATCTATTCCCAGCTTCTGGCAAACATAGGCTAGGGACACCATTCCTACCCATCCTGGCTGGTAAGTATTGATGGATCAATTCTCCGAGAACGAATCTGTTAAAGCCATGGTCTTCACAACATCCTCTGGCAAGGAGTTCCACGGGTTAACTGTGCACTGCCTGGGTTATCTGGTACAAATAATGATCAATTTACTCATATAAAACCACCTTGTGACTCATGCTAGTGCAGTGACTTGCAGTTAAAGGGAATTTCTTCTTATGAACATATTCACCCAGAGTCTCATGATCTGCACTGGCTGCCTTTAGCTTAGGACCTACCCAGATAAGAAACTACCACACTCCCCTGTCTTCTCAACTAGTTCTGCCTTCTCTGTGTCTCACATGCACCATCTCTATGGGTATGTCTACACTACAGCACTAATTCGAACTAACTTAATTTGAATTAGTTAATTCGAACTAAGCTAATTCGAACTGGTGCCTCAAGACCTAAAAACTAGTTCGAATTAGCATTTTGCTAATTCGAACTAGCATGTCCACACTGAGTGGACCCTGAACTGAGGTTAAGGATGGCTGGAAGCAGTGCCGGCAGGGCATCAGAATAGGACTTAGAGCGTGGAGCTGCTGTCTCAGGCTAGCCGAGGGCTGTGCTTAAAGGGACCCGACCCCCACCCCGGACAGACAGTTCTCAGGGGTTCCCCGCTTGCAAAGCAGTCCTGGCTTGGAGTGCTCGGAGTACCCACACTGGGCACATCACAGCACTCGGCCATCAGCCCAGCTGCACTTGCTGCAGGCTGGCAACTGGGAAGAGGGGGCAATTGGGGGGCTGCAGGAGAGTTTCCACCCCAAGGAGCCCGCAGAGCCAGCCCAGTCCTCCCCATCGGGGGCTCGTACCCCATTCCTCCCTCACCTCCTTCCACTTACCCCTCCCTTGCCCCCCTTCCCGATGTACAAAATAAAGGACACGTGTGGTCAAAAATAGAAACTCTCTTTATTTAACAAAACTGGGGGAGACTAGGAAAAGGAGGTGGGAGAGGGGAAGAGAGAGGCTGGGAGAGGGGAGGGCAACTAAAATGATCAGGGGTTTGGAACAGGTCCCATATGAAGAGAGGCTAAAGAGACGGAGGGGGGATATGATAAAGGTCTATAAAAGCATGAGTGGTGTGGAGAGGGCGCATAAAGAAAAGTTCTTCATTAGTTCCCATAATAGAAGGACTAGAGGACACCAAAGGAAAGGAATGGGTAGCAGGCTTCAAACTAATAACAGAAAGTTCTTCTTCACAAAGCAAATAGTCAACCTGTGGAACTCCTTGCTGCAGGAGGCTGTGAAGGCTACAACTAGAACAGAGTTTAAAGAGAAGTTAGATAAAGTCATGGAGGGTGGGTCCATGGAGTGCTATTAGCCAGGGGGTAGGA